CCGATCCGTGGACATCTCCTGCATATGGGGCAGGCTACAGGCTGTAGAATATATAAAAATCGGTTCAGGCATCAACACGCATTTCAACACATTTAGCAGAGAACATGTCCAAGTTACAGCATACTGGGCTGAGGCAAAACCAACAAAGAAACGCCAAGTCAGCGGATGGCAATCAGCTCGGCTCCAGATGAATATTGTTTGTTTCTTTGCAGCCGCCGTCACACGCGCCGTCCCGTGCATCATCCGAATGCCTGCATGTGCCACCCGCAAGGCCACTTCCAGCTGCGGCTGGCCGACAGGAAAAGCAGGTTTGCTGTGCAATCCCCAGTGAGACTGCAGAGAGAAAAACACCGGAGGACAAAGATCACATGACCGGACCTCGCTACTCACCATGGATATGAGAAACAGATCGGATGATGAAATTTGCTGCAAGTACTCCGGGTTCCTGTGCCGAAGTCTCTCGATGTAAACCAAGGCCAGCATCATGGAGCACGGAGAGATACAAGCCTCCCTACAACACAGAGAACAACTATCAGGAAGACGGTCATTAGTGTCTATCAATCTAAGACACGGATTTAAAGAGAACCTGTCACCGGACCATTCATTCCAACAAAAACTGTCCCATAAGATTATATGAGCATTTCATGTACGCATTTTATTTACCTGTAAAATCCTCCATTGTGCACACACCCAAAAGCTCGGAGACTGTTGCCGGGTGCCGCCATTTTGGGTGTGATACTAGCAGCCTCATTGCTGTCACTCAAATGACACTTTATACCAGGGGTGGGCAAACTCCAGCCCTCCAGCTGTGGTGAAACTACAAATCCCACGAGGCATTGCAAGATTCTCACAGCTACAAGCATGACTCCCAGAGAGAGAGATGCATCATGGGCTTTGTAGTTTCACCACAGGTGGAGGACCTGAGTTTGCCCACCCCTGGTTTATAGTATCCCCCTTTGTTCCCCCTCCCCCCGGCTACATATAAGGTTATGTGGGGAGGAGTGGAGGAGCTGGACCAGTACAGACAGGAACCACACACTCCCAGAAGAGAAGAGGAATATGATGTCCGAGGGAGGAGAGCTGTGCTAGGAAATGGTGGTGAAAATACAAATCCCATCGTGCCCCTGCCTCTGGGAGTCATGTCTGTGCCAGTCAGATTCTTACAATGCATCATGAGACTTGTAGTGCCACCGCAGCTGGAGTGCCGAGGCTGAAATACACAAAGCACACCAAGATTCAAGGAAGAACATACATGGCTCTTGCACGAGGGCAAGGTTTGTTTATCCCGGAGTCCAGCTGTAACTATACCATAGACCAGGGGTGGGCAAACCCCGGCCCTCCGAAACTACAAGTCCCATGAGGCATTGCAAGATTCTCACAGCCACAGACATGACTCCCGGGGAGAGATGCATCATGGGATTTGTAGTTTCACCACAGCTGGAGGGCCGGAGTTTGCCCAACACTGCTCTACACTCTCAGGGTATCGAAACCCCAAAACTGTAATCAACTAACCAGCACTTCGGGAAGGCGGCGGCATTCCTTGTCTTCTTCCTGGCTTTTATATCCCTCTTTACATCCCCCTGGTGATCCGGTGAGCATTACACTTCCTGTCCCTGGGTTGCTGCATTTACTCCTCCACTGTATCTTCAGGAGGGAGTTATGGCTGCCGACCAGGCTGGACCTGCTTTATCTCCATTATATGAAGGCTGCAGGGAATAGTAGTTTACACAAGAAGGATAAGATTGTTGGGCTGCCTGTGTAGCTCTCAGGAAGTGACAGCGGCCCTCCCTACTGGCAAGACCAACTTGATGAAAATGTTCTTAGTCTATAAAAAGAAAACTAACGCAGTCACAACATCTATGGACGGGTCAGCTGCAATCAGGGCCGAAGCTGGGGAGTCATGTGCCCCGGGTGCTGCTTTAGGAGGGGCGCCACTGGGTGTGTGGATAGAGATCTAATCAAGTTAGATTGAGAGATCACGTCCAGACTTTACACTAAGAGCAGCTATAGGACTTGGACGCTATTTGAGCATACGCAATTCTCACCTGGATACGTGAACGGCGTACTTCTTCTGCAGGCGACGGATGGGGCTGGGAGCAGCTTTCTGTAGTAACTCCACGGCGATGTCTGGCACAGCGAGAAAACATAAAGGGGAAGAATTAGAAATTGCCAAAATCCAACTCGACCCTGCCGAGGGAAAGGATTAGGTAAGCACATGCATCGGGATTACCATTCGTATCCCACTCAGGACAGGAAGTGATGGCAAACCTCTCTATTGGGGACACAGACACATCCTTAGAGTGGGGGAAGGGTTAGGTAAGCACATGCACTCAGATCAGGTCTACCATTGGTGTCCCACTCAGGACAGGAAGTGATGACAAACCTCTCTATTGGGGACACAGACGCATCCTTAGAGTGGGGGAAGGGTTAGGTAAGCACATGCACTCAGATCAGGTCTACCATTGGTGTCCCACTCAGGACAGGAAGTGATGACAAACCTCTCTATTGGGGACACAGACACATCCTTAGAGTGGGGGAAGGGTTAGGTAAGCACATGCACTCAGATCAGGTCTACCATTGGTGTCCCACTCAGGACAGGAAGTGATGACAAACCTCTCTATTGGGGACACAGACACATCCTTAGAGTGGAGGAAGGGTTAGGTAAGCACATGCACTCAGATCAGGTCTACCATTGGTGTCCCACTCAGGACAGGAAGTGATGACAAACCTCTCTATTGGGGACACAGACGCATCCTTAGAGTGGGGGAAGGGTTAGGTAAGCACATGCACTCAGATCAGGTCTACCATTGGTGTCCCACTCAGGACAGGAAGTGATGACAAACCTCTCTATTGGGGACACAGACGCATCCTTAGAGTGGGGGAAGGGTTAGGTAAGCACATGCACTCAGATCAGGATTACCGTTCATGTCCCACTTGGGACATTTTGAGTCCTCACAAAATCAAGTAGTGAGGGGAAAATCCAACAACAGGAACGCCTGCGTCTAAGAGAACTCTCTCGGGAAGTGTTAGACATACTCCGGCCCTACAGCAGCTACATGGGAAACATGTCCCGTGAGACATTGCAAGACTGACAGCCACAGGCATGACTCCCAGGGGAAGATGCAAGACGGGACTTGTAGTTTTAGCGCAGTTGGAGGGCCGGAGTTCGCCTACTCCTGCGTTTAGTTTTTCTGGGAATAAACTGGGACGTATAAACAAGGTTTGTGCGTCCCAAATGACTTGTTCCTGCGTTTGGTTGTTCCTGCTTTAAAGCGGTTGCAGCAGCATTCAGGCCACATTCACACCTTGGGGTGTCAGGTACACGCGAGTTTCTGTGCTGCGTTTGCCGCACGTCCTTATTGAGTTCAATGGGGAGCTGAAAGCGCAATAAACACAGCAAAGAAGCTAGTGTAGCAAACTCTGCGGCATGCGTTCTGCGTTTTTGGCCTCCGCGCTTAAAGTGCAGGAAAAATAACCTGACCGGAATTTTAACCCTTCCAGCTCCATACAAAACTAAAAAATGGCTTTACATTCACTTTAAGAACAAAGATCCGCATAACAGTAACCGGGACAAAGGTACGGAGCTTCCAGGCGATCAGATGATCGCTCTCATTTTCTCCTCCGCAGCTCCAGCTACTGCCATGTAAAATGACGCCATTTGTATATATCAGAAAACAGTCCCCCTGCGCTCCCCGCAGCGTTCCCGGTCCAGGTAACAATCGTGGTGCTCAAAGTGACGATCACGCATGGCGCCGTGCACAGCAGTCAATGGAGGATAGAAATCACCAGCACTGAGCAAGTTAAAAAAAAAATAATCACGTCCATTTATTTGGACCAAACGTCACACATATCGCATAATCCAACGTTTCGGGACCGTGCAGGGTCCCTTCATCAGGGCGGAGATGTGACACCCCGGTCCCGAAATCGATATGAAATCACCTGCACTCCATACAGCGTACAGCCCTTGGATGAGAGGTTGGTGCTTGAAGTGACAACACCTCCGCTCTTTCCAGCTCCCTCGTCAACTCCTCCCATACCAGCCTCCAGGACTTCTCTAGAGTCTCTCCCATCCTCTGGAACTCTTTACCCCAACCTGTCCGTCTATCTCAAAGAGCCGGGTTCCGCCCGGAGTGCAGCTTTAAGTCACACGGCTGGAGCTGTCAGATGATACAGAGCGTACTCACCGGCCACAGGGCTGGACAGGTTCTCCATGGAGCACTCGGCATCCCAGCCATAGTACAGACGCTTCCGAACTCTCTCCGCCAGCTGGGGGTGTCCGGGCAAAAACTGCGCGAGAACAACAAAAACATCACCGATATACACAGAGCCAGACATTGTGCTGACCCCATATACAGGCATGGGTGAGGTGTATACACAGGCAGGAGGAGAGATCGGGGTGAGGTGGATACACAGGCAGGGGGAGAGATCGGGGGGAGGGGTATACACAGGCAGGGGGAGAGATCGGGGGGAGGGGTATACACAGGCAGGGGGAGAGATCGGGGGGAGGGGTATACACAGGCAGGGGGAGAGATCGGGGGGAGGGGTATACACAGGCAGGGGGAGAGATCGGGGGGAGGGGTATACACAGGCAGGGGGAGAGATCGGGGGGAGGGGTATACACAGGCAGGGGGAGAGATCGGGGGGAGGGGTATACACAGGCAGGGGGAGAGATCGGGGGGAGGGGTATACACAGGCAGGGGGAGAGATCGGGGGGAGGGGTATACACAGGCAGGGGGAGAGATCGGGGGGAGGGGTATACACAGGCAGGGGGAGAGATCGGGGGGAGGGGTATACACAGGCAGGGGGAGAGATCGGGGGGAGGGGTATACACAGGCAGGGGGAGAGATCGGGGGGAGGGGTATACACAGGCAGGGGGAGAGATCGGGGGGAGGGGTATACACAGGCAGGGGGAGAGATCGGGGGGAGGGGTATACACAGGCAGGGGGAGAGATCGGGGGGAGGGGTATACACAGGCAGGGGGAGAGATCGGGGGGAGGGGTATACACAGGCAGGGGGAGAGATCGGGGGGAGGGGTATACACAGGCAGGGGGAGAGATCGGGGGGAGGGGTATACACAGGCAGGGGGAGAGATCGGGGGGAGGGGTATACACAGGCAGGGGGAGAGATCGGGGGGAGGGGTATACACAGGCAGGGGGAGAGATCGGGGGGAGGGGTATACACAGGCAGGGGGAGAGATCGGGGGGAGGGGTATACACAGGCAGGGGGAGAGATCGGGGGGAGGGGTATACACAGGCAGGGGGAGAGATCGGGGGGAGGGGTATACACAGGCAGGGGGAGAGATCGGGGGGAGGGGTATACACAGGCAGGGGGAGAGATCGGGGGGAGGGGTATACACAGGCAGGGGGAGAGATCGGGGGGAGGGGTATACACAGGCAGGGGGAGAGATCGGGGGGAGGGGTATACACAGGCAGGGGGAGAGATCGGGGGGAGGGGTATACACAGGCAGGGGGAGAGATCGGGGGGAGGGGTATACACAGGCAGGGGGAGAGATCGGGGGGAGGGGTATACACAGGCAGGGGGAGAGATCGGGGGGAGGGGTATACACAGGCAGGGGGAGAGATCGGGGGGAGGGGTATACACAGGCAGGGGGAGAGATCGGGGGGAGGGGTATACACAGGCAGGGGGAGAGATCGGGGGGAGGGGTATACACAGGCAGGGGGAGAGATCGGGGGGAGGGGTATACACAGGCAGGGGGAGAGATCGGGGGGAGGGGTATACACAGGCAGGGGGAGAGATCGGGGGGAGGGGTATACACAGGCAGGGGGAGAGATCGGGGGGAGGGGTATACACAGGCAGGGGGAGAGATCGGGGGGAGGGGTATACACAGGCAGGGGGAGAGATCGGGGGGAGGGGTATACACAGGCAGGGGGAGAGATCGGGGGGAGGGGTATACACAGGCAGGGGGAGAGATCGGGGGGAGGGGTATACACAGGCAGGGGGAGAGATCGGGGGGAGGGGTATACACAGGCAGGGGGAGAGATCGGGGGGAGGGGTATACACAGGCAGGGGGAGAGATCGGGGGGAGGGGTATACACAGGCAGGGGGAGAGATCGGGGGGAGGGGTATACACAGGCAGGGGGAGAGATCGGGGGGAGGGGTATACACAGGCAGGGGGAGAGATCGGGGGGAGGGGTATACACAGGCAGGGGGAGAGATCGGGGGGAGGGGTATACACAGGCAGGGGGAGAGATCGGGGGGAGGGGTATACACAGGCAGGGGGAGAGATCGGGGGGAGGGGTATACACAGGCAGGGGGAGAGATCGGGGGGAGGGGTATACACAGGCAGGGGGAGAGATCGGGGGGAGGGGTATACACAGGCAGGGGGAGAGATCGGGGGGAGGGGTATACACAGGCAGGGGGAGAGATCGGGGGGAGGGGTATACACAGGCAGGGGGAGAGATCGGGGGGAGGGGTATACACAGGCAGGGGGAGAGATCGGGGGGAGGGGTATACACAGGCAGGGGGAGAGATCGGGGGGAGGGGTATACACAGGCAGGGGGAGAGATCGGGGGGAGGGGTATACACAGGCAGGGGGAGAGATCGGGGGGAGGGGTATACACAGGCAGGGGGAGAGATCGGGGGGAGGGGTATACACAGGCAGGGGGAGAGATCGGGGGGAGGGGTATACACAGGCAGGGGGAGAGATCGGGGGGAGGGGTATACACAGGCAGGGGGAGAGATCGGGGGGAGGGGTATACACAGGCAGGGGGAGAGATCGGGGGGAGGGGTATACACAGGCAGGGGGAGAGATCGGGGGGAGGGGTATACACAGGCAGGGGGAGAGATCGGGGGGAGGGGTATACACAGGCAGGGGGAGAGATCGGGGGGAGGGGTATACACAGGCAGGGGGAGAGATCGGGGGGAGGGGTATACACAGGCAGGGGGAGAGATCGGGGGGAGGGGTATACACAGGCAGGGGGAGAGATCGGGGGGAGGGGTATACACAGGCAGGGGGAGAGATCGGGGGGAGGGGTATACACAGGCAGGGGGAGAGATCGGGGGGAGGGGTATACACAGGCAGGGGGAGAGATCGGGGGGAGGGGTATACACAGGCAGGGGGAGAGATCGGGGGGAGGGGTATACACAGGCAGGGGGAGAGATCGGGGGGAGGGGTATACACAGGCAGGGGGAGAGATCGGGGGGAGGGGTATACACAGGCAGGGGGAGAGATCGGGGGGAGGGGTATACACAGGCAGGGGGAGAGATCGGGGGGAGGGGTATACACAGGCAGGGGGAGAGATCGGGGGGAGGGGTATACACAGGCAGGGGGAGAGATCGGGGGGAGGGGTATACACAGGCAGGGGGAGAGATCGGGGGGAGGGGTATACACAGGCAGGGGGAGAGATCGGGGGGAGGGGTATACACAGGCAGGGGGAGAGATCGGGGGGAGGGGTATACACAGGCAGGGGGAGAGATCGGGGGGAGGGGTATACACAGGCAGGGGGAGAGATCGGGGGGAGGGGTATACACAGGCAGGGGGAGAGATCGGGGGGAGGGGTATACACAGGCAGGGGGAGAGATCGGGGGGAGGGGTATACACAGGCAGGGGGAGAGATCGGGGGGAGGGGTATACACAGGCAGGGGGAGAGATCGGGGGGAGGGGTATACACAGGCAGGGGGAGAGATCGGGGGGAGGGGTATACACAGGCAGGGGGAGAGATCGGGGGGAGGGGTATACACAGGCAGGGGGAGAGATCGGGGGGAGGGGTATACACAGGCAGGGGGAGAGATCGGGGGGAGGGGTATACACAGGCAGGGGGAGAGATCGGGGGGAGGGGTATACACAGGCAGGGGGAGAGATCGGGGGGAGGGGTATACACAGGCAGGGGGAGAGATCGGGGGGAGGGGTATACACAGGCAGGGGGAGAGATCGGGGGGAGGGGTATACACAGGCAGGGGGAGAGATCGGGGGGAGGGGTATACACAGGCAGGGGGAGAGATCGGGGGGAGGGGTATACACAGGCAGGGGGAGAGATCGGGGGGAGGGGTATACACAGGCAGGGGGAGAGATCGGGGGGAGGGGTATACACAGGCAGGGGGAGAGATCGGGGGGAGGGGTATACACAGGCAGGGGGAGAGATCGGGGGGAGGGGTATACACAGGCAGGGGGAGAGATCGGGGGGAGGGGTATACACAGGCAGGGGGAGAGATCGGGGGGAGGGGTATACACAGGCAGGGGGAGAGATCGGGGGGAGGGGTATACACAGGCAGGGGGAGAGATCGGGGGGAGGGGTATACACAGGCAGGGGGAGAGATCGGGGGGAGGGGTATACACAGGCAGGGGGAGAGATCGGGGGGAGGGGTATACACAGGCAGGGGGAGAGATCGGGGTGTATCTGTATATACAGGGCGAGGGATCCGGGTGAGGTGTATATACAGACGGGGTGAGGTATACACAGGCCGCATGATATGGGGACTCACCGGGAAGTCCATGAACGGGGTGGCCGTCCGGGGGATAGCTTTCTCCTCCCGTTGGGCTCCCCGCACGGTTCCGACCTTCCTCCGCTCCATGTCAGGATCTCAGGCACTCCTGCCCGCTGTAGGCCGCCGTTGGTTAATCGAACTTCCGGGATGTGCGCAGGTGGGAGGGGCCGGACACAATGTCAAAGCCGGGCCCCGCCTCCCCACTCATCTTCTTATAACCTCCCCATGTGATCTCCCGCCACTTCACTTCTGCCAGTCCCATGCCGCACCTCAGACCGGGATAATCAGGGCATTCACCTTATTAAAAGTCGCAACAAAAAGTGACCACCGACTGAATCCAAATTTACTATTACTTCTCTGACACCCCAAAACATGTGGTCACTGCATTCCTGTGCTATGGAAAATGGAGCTTAGTAATAGTGCACAAGATACACAGGGGGGGATTTACTCTCCCTGCCGCCCCAAGGCCAGGTTCCACAATACGCCCCAGGAAGATACAATACATGTACAGGAGGTCATAGACAGAGGGAGGATGGGGGGGTTGATGCACAGGTCATAGACTGAGGGAGGATGTGGGCAGTGGCGTCACAAGGGGGGTGCGTCCTGCACCCGGGTGACACCATTGGAGGGGTGACAGTCATTTTGGTGTCACCCCCTCTGAAAAGTCGGGCACTCGGTCACGGACCGAGCGCCCAACAGTATCAGGAGAGAGGAGAAGACTCGGCGGCATACCTTATCCCACCAGGTGACTGTCCCCTCCTCTCTGCCGGCGTCCATCACCAAGATGGCTGCCGGCAGGTATCAAGACGCGCACGCGCGTGGTGAAGTCCGCTTGGCAGCCAGCCTCGGGACGCCCCTGGATGGGGGTTCATGTACAGGTCATAGAGGGATGATGGGGGGGGGTTGATATACAGGTCATAGAGGGAGGATGGAGATGATGAGGGTTGATGTACAGGTCATAGACTCCTGCCTCCCCTCCCTTCCCCGTATTTATTACTTCCAGGTATTTATGTTTCTTTAAGTTCGCCTCCAGCCAATTACAGTAAACTCCCCGTTATCCGCCATCCACAGGGATTGGTAGATTCCGGATAAATGTAGTTTCTGGTTGCTTGATAGTTACTATTAAAAAATAGGTCTAACTAATGCCATACCCCCAATACTACACCCTACACCAGCGGTGGCGAACCTATGGCACGCGGGGCCGTTTCTGCTGGCACGCAAGCCCAGGTCGGCTGTACCGCTTCAAAGTTCACTGATGGGCACGCAGGCGCAGAAAAGTGCTTCGGAGACACTGTCATCTTCTGCCACGCAAGCGCACTGAGGACGAGACGAGGAGCTGGCAGGCGCAGTGACGTCAACTGACAAGGTATGTGAGGCGCACTCGCTCTAGCATTGGCCCCATTACCTCAGACATAGGAGAGCATATTAGACGGCCGCTCGCTGGGGCCTCTCAGGGCCCGAGCCAGCAGCCGTCTAAATAGAAAGCTGCATCTGCACTTAGGAGACGCATAGCTCCCACTGCTTTCAACCTCACCAGCTAATTTGTCGCCGCCGACTGTCATCGGGACCACGTCCCTCCACTGCCGCTGGTCGGCAATCCCCATGCCGTCCTCCACCACACACTGACAAGCATAGGACTCCACCATCCACAGAGCGGTTCCTGCGGCCCAAGTCACGCCCGTAGTAGCCGGCGAGTCTGACTCAGTCTATCTCCTGCAGACACAGCAGTGACACGAACGGACCTTCGGCTCTCCCCTCTCTCTTTCCGTCTCCAGCCACCCGCTTGTGTGGACGGGTTCCCACTGCCGAACACCCACTCAGCCAAGGCTCTCCTCCTCAACCCCTCGATCTCCACCAGAGGCCGTCTCGCCTCCAGCCAAAATGGACAAAATGTAAGTGACATCTTCCCTCATTAGCATCTACTCACACACTCATGTCTTTGCGCAGTTCACATGCCTTTTAGTTATAGCTCCCTTTAGAGACCACTTAAGGACCACCACTTTTAGATGACCTGGACGCTGCCCATACACACAACTCCAGGGCCCACCTAGCCCACCTAAGAGCATTCCTGGACCACCTTGAAGCTGCACAGCCCCCAAGAGCCCATACAGACAATCACAGGGCCCACCTAAGAGCACTTATGGACCACCTGTAAGCTGCACAGCCCCCAAGAGCCCATAGAAACAACCGCAGAGCCCACCTAGGAGCACATATGGACCACCTTGAAGCTGCACAGTCCCCAAGAGTCAATACAGACAACTGCAGGGCCCACCTAAGACCACTTATGGACCACCTTGAAGCTGCACAGCCCCCAAGAGCCCATAGAAACCACCGCAGAGCCCACCTAGGAGCATATAATTAGTTCAAACAGTGGTATGAAGTGTGCTTGTAAAATAAATCATTAGTATTTGGCTCGAAGTGCAGGGTTGGCACTTTGAGACACGTAAGTTGGTTTAGTGATCCAGTTTGGGCACTCGCGCTCAAAAAGGTTCGCCATCGCTGCCCTATACTATACCCCATACTATAACCCTGTACTACACCATAAACTCTGTATTGATATTAATAATGAAATACAGTAATCTAAAGCAAATTAAGACAAATAGACACAGGATCGTTTCCAGGATAATACATGCCGCAAATCAGCAGAACAGTGAGTACACGGGATTTTTTTTTTACATGACGGAATAAACGTCAGTCAAAGGACTGCAGCGCTGAACACTGAAAAATGGCCTGGCCAGGAAGGGGGTCTAAACACCTGGTCTTGAAGTGGTTAATACTGGAACACAGAGAGTTCACTGTACTTTTTGGCATCATGCGTGGTAAAGAAATACAAAAAAGCATCTAAGGCTGCACAAGTCACCTGGAGCTGTCTCCTGCAGTACTTCTATTCTGCCACTAGATGCCCTCAGTCTTCCAGGTTAAATGGTACTACTATTTGATACACAGTATATATTAATATATACGTACGTACCCCCCACACACACACACACGTCAGTACAATTTTCTTCCAGTAGAAGTCTGAGGGGTCAATTGACTAAACGTTATCTCATGAGATAAAATGGTCAAGTGACCTTTTTTTTAAGTGAAATATCACGAGATAAATATGTAGTCAAAGTGCCCCCTTACATTTGCTGCCCCATCAGAGTGCCCCCTTACATTAGTTATCTCCATCAGAGTGCCCCCTTACATTAGTTATCGCCATCAGAGTGCCCTCTTACATTTGTTATCCCGATCAGAGTGCCCCTTACATTAGTTTTCTCCATCAGAGTGCCCCCTTACATTAGTTTTCCCCATCAGAGTGCCCCCTTACATTAGTTATCTCCATCAGAGTGCCCCCTTACATTAGTTTTCCCCATCAGAGTGCCCCCTTACATTAGTTTTCCCCATCAGAGTGCCCCCTTACAATTGTTGCCCCATCAGAGTGCCCCCTTACATTAGGTGTACCTACCACAGTGCCCCCCTTACATCAGGCCATAGTGCCCCCATACCTTTCTTTGCCTGGCAGGCAGAGGGTGTGTGGCGGGAGGCAAAGCAGGCTGCAGGTCTGGATGGAAGAAGTTACTCTTCTGTCTTCTTGTGAGGTTGGGGGGGCGCACACATGTGACATCATTGGTTAGGACGCAGGGGGACTTCACAACCGACTCCAGATGAGGGAGGAAACCTGCACTGGGTTATGTATGGCAGGCACTGGATGTACTGCCCTTGGAAAGTCTCTGAAGGCCGGCGCATCCACTGTCAGCCATAACCCAGCGCAGGTGCGCGATCATGGTTGGGCTACAACTGTCACTTGGTCCGAGATGCTTTATATAATATTAATATATATCAGAACATTGCATTTAACTGATGGCATTAAAATATATAAAACACACACAAACATCTGACGCTTATCAAATATTTTATTGTCAGTGTCCTTGTCCACAAATAGAGGTCGCAGGGCCTCACGTATAAAAACTAAAATATTTTGGATGATCTGAAATCTTAAAATGCGCGTTGCCCATAACAACCAGACTGCTGCTTTCATTTATCTAAAAAAATAAAAACAAAGCAACAAACTCTTTGGCCGAGGACAACCCAGTCACTTTCACTAAATTCACTGTTTTCCATGAGGCCCGCTGTATAATAAATAGAATTATTCCCTATTCCAATAACACCCGTATCATACAAATCCTGATCTAAAAAAAAAAAAAAAGTGCGAGCTAAAATCTTGAACCCTGAGGTCACGGAGGCGTCTCACCGATGCATGCACACAGACACCCATGTAAGGGCTCCCGCAGAGGGCATTGTGTTCTGGGTTCTAAGTGTGCGTCAAATGCAAAAGCGGGTCGAGCGCAACCTTTGCTGAGCTTGCGCTCAAACACATGCATTTGAGCAACGTTGCATGGTAGCGTTTGCCAACAACGCCTTTCCACATGAGCTCTAAAGCTACCAGCTCGCTGGTAGGATTCTGCTACAGGTATGTAGTGCGAGGGCCTGCCAACACAATCCATTCAAATATATCTGATGGGGTAGGCCCTCATAATCAGGGCTGTCCCGATGAGGCAGGCTGCGGCTACTGCCTCAGGCGGCATCTTTTTGGGTCATGTGGGTGGACGGCAGGCAGAGTGGCATGGCGGCTCTGCAGAACAATGTTTGCAGTGTGCCTGCCACCCCCTTTCTGGCCAGAGTCCCAGGTTACTGTGAGCCAGGTGGGGAGATGTGTAAGGGCCATACACATCTTCAGGCCCAGCTCTTAGGAACCCGGGATGCTCTTGGTGGGATGCCGGCCAGAGCGTACCAGGTTGCTAACGGCAGGGAGATGCAGAGCCCTTACACATCTCCCTGCCTGGCTCTTAGCAACCTGGGGCGCTCTTGGTGGGACGCTGGCCAGTGTACCAGATTGCTAAAAGCTGGGCATGGAGATGCGGATCCCTTACACATCTCCTTGCCTGGCTCTTAGCTTCTCCTTCAACAGCATCTCCCCCCAAGCCCCCCCCCCCTGCTGCCTCAGGCGGCAAAAAGGCCAGGGACACCCCTGGTCACAATACACAGCTTGTACACAGGAAAATGTTGTTGATCTGACAGAATAAATCTAATTCCGCTTGGCCAGCAGAAGAGGTATTGTGCCAGGACCTGCACCTTATAGCAGCTTTCCATTATCTTAAACTTAAAGGATGCCATTAATTAATATTTCAGCTTTGTGTGGTTGCTGGTCGTATGCATATATTGGAGACGTCAGAGATTCCAGTGGTAAGGCATTTCCACCACACTTTCCAGTCCTGTGGACACCTGATCATCACACCTATATGATGTTTTTTGACACACCATTCCGAAACAATGGCCAATAATATGAAGTTACCTCCCCACCCCTAGTCTTCTGGGAAGGTTTCCACAAAATGTTGTGATTGTGTGGGAATGTGTGTCTATTCAGTCAATATAACATTTGTGAGGTTAGGTACTGATGTTGGATGAGATGTGCAACCAATTGGATTTTAATGCATCCCAAAAGTGTTCAGTAGGGTTGAGGTCAAGGCTGTGTGAAGGCCACTCCAGTTCCTCCACTCCAAACTCATCAAACCATGTCTTTATGGAGCTGGCTTTGCATCCAGGGGTCGCAGAACAGAAATGGGCCTTCGCCAAAATTATCACAAGGTTAGAAGAGAACAATTCTCTAAAATGGTCTCTTGCAACCCTTTAACATGGAGCAACCCCTCAAAAAAAACTTTCATATCTCAGGGAACCCTTGCCAATAATTATTATATGTAACACTCATGGACATCACCATGAGCAGTAAGTTGTGGCTATAAGAATTTAATATGGTGTGGTGTACTTAACATATCTGACACCCAGGGCTGCTCGGAACAACAAAATTATTTAAAGTAATAATAATTGAACTAAACTAAAAAATCGTAACGGTCAGAAATATAAAGTGTAGACTGTAAAAATTGTAGTGCTGCCTCATTGGTGGTCAATGGAAACGTGCCCCCTTACATTGGTGGTCTGTGTAAGGCCACCAATGGAAACGTGCCCCCTTACATTGGTGGTCTGTGTAAGGCCACCAATGGAAACGTGCCCCCTTACATTGGTGGTCTGTGTAAGGCCACCAATGGAAACGTGCCCCCTTACATTGGTGGTCTGTGTAAGGCCACCAATGGAAAAGTACCCACCTTACATTGGTGATCTGTGTAAGGCCCCCACTGGTGGTCAGTGAATTGCTCTATTACATTAGTGGTCAATGGAGGAGAGCCCCAATACACTATGGGTACGTGCAAAGAACATCCCCCTCAAACTGGCCATGTGCTAGTAAGCCTAACAGATTCCTCCATCCATACTAAACAGCATTGATGGACAAATCTCCCACTGCAGTTATTGTGTAGAATACCTGAAGCCGATTGGCTGCAGTCACTGTTCAGCACAGAATTTTCCTCCCGGCTCCGCCAATTTTCTGACCAAAGAATGTCAGGTAGGAGACTGCCGACAGGGGCCACCCACTGAGTGAATTTTGCTCCATGTATGGTCAAGCTTAAGAGATATCTGAAAATATTTATGGTGTCAGTGATATATTATAAGAGCAGAAATTGCTAATTGTTTCAGGAACCTTTAGCAACATCTGCAGGAACCCCGGGTGAGAAAGATTACTCTAAAACATCTTTGTATGCTGTAGCATTAGCAGAACCCTTCACTTTCAGCACCCGAACTTTATAATATGGAGGGAAATCCACAGACTTTTGGCCACAGAGTAGGAGTGATGGTCGGGTGTCCACAAACGTTAGCTAGTTAATGTATAAAATGGCCTTGTGCTTCAACCATACAAAGTAACCGGTCCACTTAAGTGCCCACCTTCACCTCCTCCCTATAGATACACACGCCTGTCTTTTCTCTATTAGGTTACCTAGGGCAAAAAGAAATGTCCATACTGACGAGTACGGGAGAGCATGCGACTCACACCCCCTTCCTCCCTTGATGTAGTGCTGGGTGTTTCACCAGGAGGCCAGGGAGAGTCCTCATCCTTGTTTAAGCTACAACTAGACCAATTTAAAGCTTACAAAGGGTTTCTTGCTCCTGCGGATGAATACAGCAGGGGGGCAAAAGAAGATAAAGTGGTTGTAAGCAGTGGAGGGAAGGGGCAGTTACGTGGACGCCGTTGATTTGCCTTGCAGCACATGTTCACTTTAAGCCAGTTGATGGTCAATCTCCTTGATGCATTGACTTGCAGATACACATATTACTGCAAGAAAATGTCACTAATGGAATCCCCAACAGACTGGAGAATCCACGAGCTTGTTCCTTAGCCAATGCCCACCAGCACTGAAATATCAGTTCCATGTGAGCTTCATTTGCCACAATGGGCCAATCGGCAGAAGGGTTGTAGTATTTGGGCTGAGCTGCATGTCCCGGCAGGTAAGGTTGATAAGAGGTTCACATACAGTAACTACCCAAATTTCTCGTTTGGCAAACCCTGAAAGATGCTAAATGTGAAAATCATTGTTACTGCAGTGTTTTCCCAGCACGGTTCTATGAAAACAGAAGCTTTGTTCTAGCGCGGCCTCTGCTAATAATAGGAGATGTGATCACTGCCATTAATCCTCTCGCTTCATACAGAATGCTGAGGAGGACAATCTTTTCTGTAGCCAACATTGTCCGCGGCTGCCGTGCAGCACAAAGCGACGTTACGCTGCTGTCTAGTGAGGTTTCCTCAGGGCCAGCTTGGGCTGCTGTAGCTTTTCTGAGATTTTGTCTTTCCTCTCGGTTTCGGAGTCAGAAGAGGACTCGGTGTTGCTCTGCTGATTCTGCCACATTCCTGCATAGATGCCTCCCTTCGAGAGCAGCTCCTCGTGTCTAAGAGCAAAGAAGAATGGATGGAAGGATTTATTTATCAACGTAAAGCAAGAGATTAGCAATTAGCCAATTACATCCTACCGCTCCCACATGTAGACACAAAGCTTAACCCCGCACTGGAAAATACCATTGCAGTGGGACCCCTCCCTCTCCTGCCAGTAACATAACCGTCCTAGGGTGACAACATTATTTTTGCTGTATCCATGGAGGAGCAGCGTTATCACCCTAGGACAGGAAGTACGTTATCACCCTAGGACAGGAAGTATGCGTGGCTCACTAATGGCAGAGTGAGAAGCAAACCTGCACAGTTCTTTGCCTTTCAGCTAACTCTGGCCTTTCTCAATGAAGCCATTGGCTCCTTGTATTCACCATGGGGAACAAACCAAACCCCAGATCCACATCTATCCCAGGAGAATGGTAAAACACGTCAACTACAAAACTTTCTTTCAAACACCTCAGCACTTACCGCACCCTGCCAGCTCTCCTGATATGTAGTTGGCTTCTAATGTGCAATGTACAGCCTTGACTTTCTCCCTCAAAAGGTTCCTTTCTACAAACTTCATCCACCTGGGTGACCGTTCAGCTAATCCTGATATGGAGGGTGAGGGTGACACTGACCTATGCTCCTACATCGACTCCCTGCCCACCTGGTCAGACCTTGAATGATATATCTCATGCATAGAAGAGACTCATAACATGGAGATAATGGTTCTTAAAACTGAAGTCACCTAAATTAGTACCAGATTGCAAGACCTAGGGAAAGCTAAAGAAGACATCCAAGACAAAAACCAGAGACCAAGCACCAGGTCCTCAATGACCATACCACCCAACTCCAAGATCTCCTGTTTCAGCTGGATGACCAGAACAATATAATAATGTTTTTTTAGACAAGTTACCCAGAGTGCTGCCCTTACCTTCCTCTCTCTACAATTTGTCCTTCTTTCAGAACCAGGATCTGATCTGCGTTGATCACGGTGGAGAGTCTGCAGACAAAGGAATAAAAAGAATCAGAACCATAAACCACGCTCATGTTCTTCACCATGTACAGATTTCAAACCTGATCTAGAAGCAACAGGTCATGGAAAAAGGAACACGAGAGCACCAGTTCAAGGTCAATTCTCACCGATGAGCAACAACAACTGTAGTGCGATTGGCGCAAACTTTGGCCAGTGAAGCTTGGATGTTGCGTTCGGTTTCGGTGTCCAGTGCTGACGTGGCCTAGAAAGAGGCAGATGAGAAGGATTGTCAGATAACAGCCAATAAATCCAGAAGGAGCACAGTACAGAGGGCACCGGGTGTTACTACCAATATGGATTGCTGGTGAGAAGCTGCTAGAAAAGCTTATAACATGGCTGCTGACTGGACAAGTGCCATCTATGGTGGGCCCATCTCCAGGCAAGTATTACACCCCTCCCACCCCCTCTAACTGATTGCTGGCTTTAAAGAATAACCATATCTAAATAACCTCATTACTCACCTAAATCCATGGTCACATGACATGCCAGTCCAGAGTCTTCTCTCTCCTTCTGTTTACAGGAGACGAGGTCTTTCGGGGATCCACATGGCCTGCGTGATGTTGACAATTCCTATTGGCTGTCCAGCGGCGGAGTCCTCTAAGGATCCAGAAGAGGGTCTGCAGCAATGACATCAGCGCAAGGGGACTGTCAGGGAATGGCTAGAACGAGCACATCTGCAGCGCTGGATTAGTGGTCCCCCACACCCAGAAACACCACAGATGAGGGACCCAGACCATGGACACAGGTGAACATATCTTTCTTTATAGGTAAGAACGTAAACAAATGTGCAGGATGGGTTATAGGGGGGTTGATTTGGGGGCATGCATGTAGCAAGTGAAATTAATACTCCAATCCAGAATGCTTGTTCCAATTCTGTAACTGCAAAAGTACTGAGGTTACTGGACCACCGTGAACTTGCATTTTCAGAAGAAAGGGTCAGCAATAACAGCCTAAAGGAAAAAAGGTTCTGGATGAATGGCCATCCAGCCAATGGGGGCGGGGGTGTCCTAAAATCTCTGGATGAGAATAAGGGTAACAGTAGCTTATAATCACCTCATCTAGAAGGACAATCTGTGGCGCCTTTAGGATGGTTCGCGCAATGGCGACTCGTTGCTTCTCTCCGCCGCTTAATTTCAGACCCCGTTCCCCGACTTGCGTGTCATATCCTGCAGACAGAAAAAAGAAAGAACTCAAAAATGTGCAACATTCTCTTGGAATACTAAAACAAAATCAGTTAGTGAGCATGGTCCAATGCAGAGGAAAAATATCTGCTGTGTCGCTGGCCAGCATGAGTCTGCTAGCGACGTGGTAGGAGAAGGTGAGAGGTCCATTTAGTAATCCTGGTGCTGGCGATTTGCCCCCAGTGATCGGTAGGCTATTGTGAATAAACCTTCTTTATGTGGAGTTCTGTAAGAAATTCCAGTGTAAAAGACCTTTTCTTAGACCGTAGTCTCGTGAATTGCTCTGTGAGACTCCTCCAAACAACTGCGGGTTGGAAGTGCAACAAAAAGCAATGACCACCGAGAGCATGTGCAGACATTCTCGTGTAATAAGACATGCAGCGATTACCTGTAGATGCAGGCCCGGATTTCCCACAAGGCCACCGAGGCCCGGCCTCGGGGCGGCAGCGGTGTCCTTGTGGGGAAGTTCCGGGCGCCAAGTAGTCCCCTCTACATTTAGTCCTGCCTTGTACAAGCAGGACTAAATGTAGAGTGAGGCAGCCGATTGTTCATTTACATGTCATCTCTGCGATGTCGCCGAGATGACATGTAAAAAGTCTGTAGCTGGTCGGTCCGTCCTCCCCTCCCCCCTCCCCCCGCACTTACCTCTCTCCTCTGGTTCCGTCCTCCGAGTCTGTCTCCTTACTGCAGTGAGCAGAGCGGCATGGTTAAAACTAACCCTGCCACTCCGTGTAGACAGTGAGTGGGGAGAGCTGTGCTGTGCTGTGCTCTTCCTCTCTCACCTGTCACAGGAGTTCCAGCACAGTGCTGTGCTAGAACTCCTGTATTGGAGGTGACAGGGTCAATAAAGAGAACCTGTCACCTCCAATTGCTATCACACAGGGGCTTGTTATCTCCTGTGTGATAGCAATAAAGTTAGGTGAAAAAATTTTTTTTGATTTTAGAAAAAAAAAAAGTGATTAAAAAGTAAAAAATAAGAAACAAATTAAAAAATAAGAACATTATAAAAAAAATCAACAATAATAAAGATAAAAAAGTAAATAAAATAAAAATCTAAAAAAATGAAATTGATAAAAAAAAAAAAAAAAAATAAAAAAAAAGTAAGAAGAAATAATTAAATAAAAAAAAAATTGGGGCGGCAGGGAGAGTAAATCCGGCCCTGTGTAGATGATGGCCGCTAGATGCAAACAGGGCAATCATTTGCAGGTAATCACTGCATATACATGAGAACAGCTGACAATGACAGCTGTTCATAGGAGTCTCACAAAGCAGTCAGGGGCCTGCCCCAATCACAAGTGTTAATGGAGCTGTAATCTTTTGTGCACACACGACTGCGAAGCTCTGGCTCCTTGGTGTAAATGTGCGAGCCAACAACAGAGAGCAATGACATCACCCGCTTACTCTAGTGTAGCCATTGTTGGCGGGAGAGTTCCCTCCCATTTACACTGAGGAACCGGATCTTTGTGGTCACATGGATGACCGATTGGAAGCCTTTTAAAAGTATTAACACTGAGATTTCTTACAAACTATATGCAGCATGTATATAAGCAGTGGGGAGACTCTGTTTTAGGCGCGAGTTATTTAAAATCCACATTCCAGGAATAGACACAAATTTACGCACTGCGCTGGGTGTGTAGATTATCATTCAAAAGCTGCATGTTATGTGTGTGGGTCCCTGCAAAGCATAAAAATGTTACCTTGCAGCAGACCGACTCCTGCACATAACACCGAGCTTCAGGGCACTGCAGGCAGTGAGGATGCGACTTGAGCAGTATAGTGCTCTGGTAGCATGACCTGCTCCGCCTCACTATTGCTCATTCACAAAGTGCCTTGTTGTTTTTCTAAGAATACAAGGCATTCCGTGACTGGAGCAGAAGTCCCGTCACATCCCTGCCCCTCCTCCAATCACAGAATGCCTTACAAGGCATTTTGTGAATAGGAAATAGTGAGGTGGAACCCCAGTTGAAAGTGCCGGAAGCTTCACTACTATAATTGATGATTTTGTATGGGAGGTTATATTATGGTTTAGTGATTACATCATTCATTAATATAACAACTTCCTTTCCCGATATGCCTTTTACAAACGTGCAGAGCTTTTCCCAAAATGTGACCCAATACCGCCATTCACCCACCATCACGGAAGGAGAGTATCCGTTCGTGAATATCAGCCGCAACTGCTGCTTGCTCCACCTCCTCATCGGTGGCGCTGACCCGTCCATAACGGATATTATTCCGAATCGTATCGTTGAACAGCACCGTGTCCTGAGGCACCACGCCGATGTGGGAGCGTAGAGAGGCTTGCTGAACCTAAGAGAGAGGACATGTTTAAAGAATAAGTTATTACAAACTAAAAACGTGTAACATTCATCAGTTCTGGGAACATCCGGGAAAGAGTTTCTTACTAAAATGAAGTTTTCAAAAATAAAAACAAAAAGACTAAAAGGGTTCTCTAGCGTTTTAAAAGCAAGCATGTGCTTTGCCTATACAAGCAAAAGCAACAGGTTTTCTTTAACCCCTCCTCATCCCCAGAAGCACATAACTTTCCTTTCCTTCCCCCCCCACTCAACACAGCATTGTATTTTATTTGGTCCTCCAAGCTTTCAGCAAGGAGAACAATGAGCAGCACAGTAGCATCACCACCACTAAATCCCACTGACTGGCAGACAGAGGCAGCAGTGACTTAAAAGGAGAACTATGAGATGAGTGGTTTCCACTCACCTCATAGTTCTAGCCGACCTGTGACAATGAGACTGTCACAGGTTGGCTCAGTAGAATGTAACAGGAGGACGCTAGTTTGTGTCCTCCCGTTACCCTAAGGAGAACTATGTGGAAAAGCCCGGACCACATAGTTCTCCTTTAAATTATCTCATGCTGCAGATATACAGCCAAGTGCCTAGCCACACCTACGAACCAGGAAGTACGCTGCTATTTTTCCAAAGGAATCCCATTTCAGGGTAATTCTTAGGCGAAGTGTAGGGGTAGAGCAATACGCTGCTACACTTACCTTATTGCTTGCTCTGGCAAGCTTCCAGCACATTGTGCGGCCATGTCCCTGAAACCACTTCTCTTCGGGGCGCTTTGTTCAGCGGCCAACAGCAAAAAGTTTCCCAGCACACTCACCAGCCAGCCAGCATGCAAAAAAACCTGTCTCACCGCTAAGGTTAAAAACAGAGGTTTAGATACACGTCTTCTGCAGAATATGTGAAAACTGCACTGCCTCGTCAAGGCCCCTCTATGTAGTGCGGCCCTATCTCTAACCTATGGGAGTCTCCATCTTGGAGCACATGTAGCAAAAGATAAAATTGGGTGCAGGTTTACCAGGAGGCAGCCCAACCTCCTTAAAGGCACAGGGACACACAAGGGACCCCGCACATCACAACGGCAGCGGAGACCCCCCAGTGTGTAATGAGGTTGGGCTGCCTCCTGACGAACCTGCACCCAATTTTATCTTTTGCTACATGTGCTCCAAGATGGAGACTCCCATAGTTTAGAGTTAGGACCGCACTATATAGAGGTGCCTTGACAAGGCGGTGCGCCTTTCACATGTTCTGCAGAAGACGTGTATCCAAAACCTCTGTTTTTAACCTTAGCGGTTAGACAGGTTTTTTTTTTTGCATGCTGGCTGAGAAACTTTTTGCTGTTGTACTGTATAAAGCCCTTCCATGTGCACCTTGCTTGAAAGCTGGTTATGAGTTGACGAGTGCGTTTGCCATTTGTTTTGCTTGACTGTTCAGCGGCCATACTCTGACGTCATCACAAACAATGCAGGGCCCGCAGTCCCTTATTGCATGTGAGGACAATGAAGGCCTGCCTACAACCCTGGAGTGTCAGAGAGAAGAGGAAAGCAGCGACTGCCAGGGGAGTGAGATATATAAATAAAATGTGCACTCACTGTGGAAATATCCTGCCCATCGATCCGGATGCTGCCTCCTTTCACGTCATAAAAGCGGAAAAGAAGACGTATAACTGTGCTTTTTCCGGAGCCCGAGGGCCCCACCTGGAAGGAGAACAAACTTTCTTCAATACAAATTCCATACGTGTCCACGTTTTACCTCCCCACAACCCTTCTGTTGCTGAGAAATTTATAGTCCTGAGGTCCACAAGAAATGCTGGGACTTTCCATTTTCCAGACAATTGAACACATAGAGGTTGTGCCCTCTGTGTCATACATACAATAAAACTTACCAGTGCCATGGTCTGCCCCGACATCACAGTGAAAGAGACATCTCGCAGGATCTCACGTCTGCGGGGGTGCAGAAGACCATATAGTTAACATTTTATTTCCTTTCATTAAACTCTCATACAGCAGTTCACCGAGTAATCATCATAACATGGATTGTATGTCAGTATCCACTAAAAGGCTTCATGTAGATGGGTGGAAGGAGGGAAAATGAGGCAAACCATGAATCATGTGACCAGTCTCTACAAGCGGTCACTCTTCAAATGAAACCTTTACCCCCTTCCACTAAAAATCACCTCAGCATACCGCTCTGCATGCCGACGTGAAATCATCTGACATTAAACAAGTGGATTTTTCTTTTACTGCCAATTATTGTTTTTCCACTTCCTGGTCCTCTTGGGCATTAGTGATGTAATTTGTGCCCAAGCGTTGCATCCTGGGAAGGTTACATCAGCAGAGCATTGCTGGGAAATCTCATCTGTAATCTTATGAGATCTCAGGGAAAGGCATTTTCCTCCCCCGAGATGATGTGCATGGTCACATGTCCTAGTCACATTTTATACTATTTCTATATTTACTTTTCCTGCTCGATTTAGCTAAAGAAAGAATTCAGCACAAGGAGCAAGACTTGTGACGAGGGAGCATGGAGCCGTCTCCTGGCCAATCAGGAAGCCCGGCAGCGTGTCATTACATTAACTCCCCCCCACACACTTTCTGATTGGCCAGAAAGCCAGCTTTATGCTCCGTGGCATGGAGCCGGTTTCCCGGCAAATCAGCAAGCCGGGCGCCATGTAGTCAGGAAGCCGGCTTCATGCTTCCAGGTGATGAGGGAGCATGGAAATGGCTTCCCGGCTAATCAGGAAGCTAGGTGGTGAGTCATTACATGCCGCCTAGCTTCCTTAAATGGGATTTCCGGTATTGTTATTCGGCATCGGCAAGTACCGGAAAAAACAAAAACAAAATATTGCATCCCTAGTTTAGATACATTTTATTTACCCGATAGGTCTACTTTGAAAATCACAAAGGACAGTATGTCAGATCTGTACAGCATGTTGAACATATGGAGTGTGTAAAAAGCAATTCCTTATCCTCTTATACACAGTGTAATACATAACAGACTTATGGGACATTTGTAATTGGAAATGTTCGGCCCGTACCCATCTGTATAGCTGAAATGGACATTCTCAAACTCTATTTTTCCACTGCGAAACCTCAGCGGGCCGGCGTTCACCAAATCCTTCACCTGTGGAGTGAAGAGTGCAGACAAGACAACGATTAGCTGATGCCCTAAAACCCTAAAGATGGCCACACACAAGCAATCCAATTGTACAATCTCCATTAGAGTCAACACGCACGTTACAATCCACGCGTACAATAAACTTTAGATTTACCAAAACGATATAATACGATCACCTGCCTAATCTAACCAATCAATTTGTATCCAGTCAGGGAGGCCCTTATACTACATAGGAGATTGTACAATCAGAGACATAAAAGCTGCTCACCTCCTGATCTTCACTGAAGAGTTCAAACATGTTCTCCATGTCGATGAATGAATTCTGAATCATCCTGTAATAGACAGATAAACATTTATTGAAACACGGACACACGTGAGGAATCTTTTCAATGCTTGCAAACAACTTTCCTCCTCACTAGCCCCTCATCTGACCAACACCAGCTCCCAGACTTCTCTCATGCTGCTCTATCTCTGGAACTCTATTCTCCAAACACTCCAAGGAAACCCTTAAGGTGCCCATACACTGCACGATTCTCGTACGAGAATCACGGGAAATCCCATCACATGGGTGTAAAGTGGGAATGCACAGATACCGGTTTTTCAGTATCTAGTGCTAGTACCGATATTTTTTTTTCGCTACTCGCCAATATCGAAAGTCCCATTAAGGAAGCCAGGCAGCATGTAAAGACTCGCCACCCAGCTTCCCGATTAGCAGGGAAGCCGTTCCCATGCTTCTTGTCACCAGATGACGAGAAAGCATGGAGCCGGCTTTCTGGCTAATCAGGAAGCCTGGCGCCGTGTAATGACGCGGCGCCCGGGCTTCCTGATTGGCCAGGAAGACCCAAATACTCGACATTTGCACAGATACTAGTATCGGTATCGGTGCAGCCTTAGTGTAAAGAATAGGTGTTTGTGTTGCAATAATAAAGCTTTCCAAATGCCTGTTCTTAGCGAATTGTCTAGTTAGTACACACAGCAGAAATCACTTTCTAACGCCTCCAAAATGCAACTGACCCGCAAACTAATGCTAAGGGCCAGGGGTAGCCAAACTTCAGCCCTCAAGCGATGATGAATCTACAAATCCCATCATGCAACTGCCTCTGTCTGTTGCTGCCAGAGTCTTGCAGTGTCTAATGGGATTTGTAGTTTCACCATAGCTGGAAGGTAGAAGAGTCATTTCAGAGGCGTTTTAGTTTTATTGCCCATGTGAACTTCCCCGGAATACTGTGGTTGCCACTGCTATGGATCAGAAACACACCCAGGTAACAGGAATAGACAGCGGTCAGGATTCATAGTGCCGTCAGTACAGGTTTTCTTCAAACAGAACCTCAAAAAGCATCTTAAAAAAGAGACTTTCGCTGGTCAATCCTTTTCAAAGACGATGGTTCTGAAGCACAACGTACCTGTAGTAAGTGCCAAACCAGTTGAGCGGCGTGTAAAGCTGGATGATGTAGGTGCCGAAAAGCACATAGTCGCCAACCTGCATATGCAAGATAGAAGCAAGTCAGATTGAGAGGATAACCTAAAAGCTGCAGCACAGGAATGCAGCCAGTAAATTCCAGCTTACTTTAAACTTGTTTTCAGTGACAAAGTAGGCGCACAGCAACGAGCCAGCCAACAGGCCCAGCCCAATGATGAGGTTCTGGGTCTGGTTTAAAAAAGCCAGCGTAGCATTAACCTTCCACTCCGACACCTACAAAGGAAAAAAGATAAACATTGAAGAACATACAGACCCATGGAAGAAAACATCACTTTAATATCAGATTGTGTTTATTGGCATTTTTTAAGTTACAGACACACACAGTAAACCGTATGTGGAAAGTATAAACATACAGAGCCTGAGAATACAAAAGTAAAACACAAAAGATATATGAACAGGGAAAAGGGAAAGAAGAAGAAAAAAAAAAAAGGAGCATATAAAGAGAAGAGAGACAGAGAAAGAGAGATATTCCACCTCTATCACGAGGATATACATATCACACTATGTTTAGTCCTATATAAATAGATAGGGAGTAGCTGTATATGCACCCTCTACACAAAGTGCACACAAGCAGACTGGGCGACTTGGTCACCCCGTAAGAGGGTTGGGTTAATAGCTGGCAACATGTAAGAGGAGGATCAGGGAGGCATCCCAGCAGGGCGGGAGGATAGCAAGAAAACATTACTAACCGACAAATGAAACCAAGGCCACTGTTGATGGCCTTGGCCTTGTGTCAATGGCATCAGTGTGAGACACTTCTAATATCATTCAGAAATCATTGAGCATTGCAGCTGATCTGCTTTAATAAGGGTTTCACATTCCTCTAAACTTAAATGTCCAAAGAGAAAAGGATGAGAATGCCGCAAGTCAATAAGAAGCCCAATATAGATGTATTCATCTTGATAAAAGTTCAGAAGATAAAGCCAACACGTCTGGGGGGTGCTAACAACTCCCCCTTCATCAGGGCTAAGAGAAGATAAACAATATTGATAGGTATGTCTGTGAAGGTTCTCATTCATCCAAGTCATGGTATATCTGTAAAATATAAGTCAAGGCAACTGGACTTGCTGTATTTTTCATGAAGACGTTTCACTGGGCAGAGAAAATTCCCACCGGAGCAGAGGCCAAGACGAAGGAATTGAAACACCTCAGGGGGGCCCTTAAAACTTGCCGGTATCCAGACTGGGCTTTTGTCAAAACAGAAAGAAGAGGAAAGAATGCCGAGAGTACCAGTGAGGGTGAAAAGCATGACAAACGGAAGAATTTGGTCATCCCATAGGTAGCCGGGGTGTCCGAGACACTCAGAAGGGTTTTTTAAAAACATCACATCCCTGTCTGCTATAAACCCAGCAATACACGGAGGCAACAACTGGTTCACCCGAAAGACCCGACGCCGAAACACAAGATGAAGGACATTGTGTACGCAGTGCAGCGCAGTGAGGAGTGCTTAGAATTGTATGTCGGTGAAACAGAACAGCAGCTACACCAGCGTATGGCACAGCATAGAAGAGCCAAACCCTCTGGTCAGGATTCAGCAGTGTACCTACATCTAAAAGGACAAAGGTCACTCCTCTGAAGACAGTCAAGTACGCATCCTAGACATGGAGGAGGACTGGCTTACAAGAGGTGTGAAAGAGGCCAGTTATGTAAAAATGGATAAGCCAAGCTTGAATAGAGGTGAGGGGGTGGGGGACATCTATTGTCTGCCACATACAATGCTGTTTTAACACCTCTCTTTGGGCAGGTTAATAACACCACCTAGGCTCCAATTATGTAAATGCAATCAACACCTGATTGTGACTAACAGATTATGTGGATTGGAGCGACATTCACCATATTTATTCCCAGATAATTTTTGTACAAGTCATTCTGAATTGAGAAAGCTGGTCGGATGATCAGTGAAATGTCTTCAAGAAAAATACAACAAGTCCAGTTGCCTCGACTTCTATTTTACAGATAATATTGATAGGTAGATCTAGTAATAGCAAGCACAGATAATTGGGAAGTTATGGTATACTATGAAACCTATATGTATAGATCAGGGGGTAGGCAAGCTCAGCACTCCAGCTGTGGTGAAACTATACGAGAGTCATGCCTGTGGCTATCAGTCTTGCAATGCCTCATGGGACATGTAGTTTGACAGCAGCTGGAGTGCCGAGATTGCCTACCCCAGTATAGATTCAGACCAGATCTCTCTTTCTTTATCTATCGATATATCAATCTATGTATCTATTGCAAAACCTGCCTGAATCACACAAGAATGTAAACACAGGCTCCATAATCTTGGGCAGAAATCCTAAAACAATCCTGGAAGATATATGTATTTACCTGGTATTTCAGTATGGAGTCATTGAATCTGTTCACCTCATAGTCTTCAGCATTGTAATATTTCACCTAAAATGCAACAGAAAGAAAGACATTAGCACTAAATAACAGTGGAAAATCCACAGGTACTACTTGACATCTTAGGCAGCAAAAACAACCAAAAGGATCAGAAAGCTTAAAGGATAAGCGCACGTTAAAACAAAGTGCAGTTATCCTTATTGTTCCCCCACCCCTTACCTAAAATGATCCCAGCCCCCCCCTCTGCTGGTCTGTACTTACCGAGAACCAATGGGCATGGTTTCTGTATGGTTTACATGCAGTGCCGTAATGCTCCCCCTGCTGGCCGCACCTGTACATTACAGCCTCACAGAGTTCTATAGGGCCATTTCCCAGCCGGAAAACATACACAGCCAGGAGAGGAGACTTGCAGCATTGAATAAAAACAAAGAGCGGAGCAGCGGCCCTCAGATCTCAGTGAGTATAGATCTGCGGAGGGAAAGGGTGGGATCATTTAGGTCAGGGAAGGGGGGCAAAATGCACTAATTCTATGAGAACATACATATTGAAGATGCCCATAGGATGTACTTCCTCAATACTAGGGATGCACCGATACGGATACTAGTTCGGTGCTGATACCGAGCATTTGGGCAAGTACTGGTACTCGCCCAAATGCTCCGATACCTTCCCAGATACTGGAACTTCCGGTCAGAGGAAATCTTCCCTAGGGGAACATGGAGCCAGCTTACTGGCTGCATTCCTGTGCTGCAGCTTTCTCTACATTTCGGCTATCCTCTCAATCTGACTTGATTGGCCGAACAGCTGGCTCCTTGCTGATTGGCTGGGAAGCAGACTTCCTGGCCAACCACAATCAAGCCGGCCAAACAACCTAAACCAGCTTCCTGAATGCCCGGGAAGCCGGCTCCATGCCAGCGGAAGCACCGCTATCGGTACTCGTTATCGGCGAGTACCAACATGTATTTGGTCCAAGCCAAGTAAATCATTATTATCATTTTTGGAAGTTTGTTTACACATTGCACTGCACCTTGGATTTAACAGAGTTTTAGTGACGACTGAAAAGACGCCCCATACCCAAAGCAAACACACAAGCCCTATAAAAGTCACATGACAGTGAGCGAGTAAAGTTTACAGCCCAGAAAAACAGGTCACCGTTTCAAAGTTCAGCAGAGAGTCTACGGCCCGGGATTTGGCTTCATTGTCTCTGGTGTTCATGTCTCGACGGTATTTCGTTCTCCATTCTGTGATGATGATGGTGAGAGCTGCGAAATCAGGAATAGGATTGTTATGGGACCTTCACCCACACAGCGGATGAGACACAAATCATAGAGAGGAGCCCCCCCCCCCCCCACACCAAGTGGGCGCTGTCGCG